TAAAAGCAATGTTATTTGCTGAATATACAGTATAAATTGACCAAGAACATGCTGCAATTCTGAAGGTTAACCACATTTTTTGAGAGATACCTAGGCTTAAAATGCCTTTTTTTTAACCACATATTTCAAAACACTGTTAGACTTTTAAAGAGGAATTTTTAAGAATTGCTACATCTTATGGTTTATATTCCTGGTGCCAAGCACCATGCCAGTTGTGCTTAGCAATTGTCATTACATGATTTTGGAATGAATGAATAAGTGAATACTTTATTAATATCTTTGGTTAAGACACATTATTAAGTGGAAAGTTAAGTTCTAGCCTATTCTTCAGTCTGGAAAAGCTTTCATGTTGTAATTCAACCGTAGTGACAAGCTGTTAACTTGGAAGGTTTCATTCAAGAATAGTCCCTTTTGAAAAGGTGTTATCACTCGAGCGACATGTTTCCATGGACTCTTGTAGGTTTCTGTGCTTGAGCTATGGACAAAACCAGGATGCCTTCACTCCTGTGCAGTAGAAGGAGACTTTAATAGGTGATTTCAGGAACTAAGGCAGGCTCTTGCTCCAAATCACAACCAATTCTCCCTTCTCTCATACACCTGAAACTTAATCATCAGTTTTGCCTTTATTTTTGTCTGGTTTTTTCTTGCTTAAATATTTGTAGTGAAAATATTCATAGGAAGAGCAATTCGATTTCACATAAATGATTAGTATGTGTAAGCTATATTTCAGGAAATGAGAAGTTCGGTAAGTCCTGCCCTTGAGAGTATGCAGTGTAGACTGGGGTGGCCATTGGCAAAGGGAGGTAGGTTGCTAATTACATTGTAGGTTCACTCAGTGCTTTCACAGGCACTTGNTTTAGATGTAATGCAAAGACGACACATTTAAAAACAGAAAAATAGATGCAAATATATAAAAATATCTAATTTAACATTTCTGTGTGTGAGGTAGAGGGGCCGGAAATTCCACTTTCCACATTTAGACCTAGTCCTATAAAATTATATATAGCTTTTTGAGCGAGGGAGGCAATTAGAGTACAGAAATTAATAGCTTAACTTACATTGATTGACTTTCTGTGTATGGGATATGAGATGGCATTGCAGGCCTTTTGCAACTGTCTTTTTAAAACTCATCTTTATTGAATTTGAATGAAATGCACAAATTCCTAAGTGTACAATTCATTGAGTTTTTAAAGAACATATTTGACATATGGTTCACATACCATACAATTCACTCCTTTAAAGTGTACAAAAACATTGGTTTTTAGTGTATTCACAGAGTTGTGCAGCCATCACCACGCCCTAGTTCCAGAACATTTTCATCAGTCCCAGAGAAACCCTGTACCCACTCTCCGTCACTCTCCGTTCCGCCCTTTCTCTAACCCCTGGCAACCACTACTTTCCTTTCTGTTTCTGTGGGTTTGCCTATTCTGGGCATTTCACATAAATGGAGTCATAATATATGTGGTGTTTTGTATCTGACTTCTTTCACTTAGCCTCATGTTTTCTTTTAGATTTTATTGGGGAATTGGCGGGGGTGGTGAACAGTGTTGGGGAAGGGGAACAACAAGTTGTTGTCCTTCAATCTTAGTTGTGGAGGGCGCAGCAAGCTCAACTCCAAGTCCAGTCACGCCACTTAGCTCAAGGTGCTGTGTTCAATTAGTTGCGGGTGGGTGTAGCCACCATCCCATGCGGGAGTCGAACCAGCAGCCTTGTGGTTAAGAGCGCNTTAACTTGCTTGAGATCACACAGCTATTAGGTAATGAAAGTGGGGTTTGAATATAGTTTTGTATGACTTGAGCTTTCTCTTTCCATTTTGTCACTTGCTACACTCTGCCCTCTTGAACGGCCCATCCAGTGCTGTTGAGTGTTACTCTTTACTGCTACCCATGTGTCTGTAGGGCACAGCCTTCTTTCTTTCTAAACTGCATTGGTTTGGGAACAGAATTGTTAGATTGTTTCAGTGGAGGGTAATTAAGTGTTGGTGGCAATGAGCCTCTTTCCTATGACTAGAGAAAATGGACTTTGACATCTGCTTTGATGTTCCTGGGACTTTTTATGCTTTTTGGCTTTGGACAGAAGTTCCCAGACAAATGCCATATTTCTTTATTTTCGCTAGTTGGGATCAGTGCTCATCTTGAGTTTGTACTGGATCAACTGGGGGGAAAATTGAAGGGTTTGTGCTACACAGGTTCCCTGGGATAATCCACGGGCCACTTAAGGTTATCTCTCCAAAAATAAACGTACCATTCTGTTTGGATGTGGTCTACTGTGGTTTTAAGCAAAAACTTTGTGTTTTTGTTTTTTTTTTCAGCTGAGCCATCCTGCTACCTATTGGCAGCTCAGCGGCAGCTCAGCTCGGGCTGGACATCAAACTGCTGTTGCTCAGAGCTCAAACTCTTGAGCAAGCTCTTAACCAACTGAGCCACTCGGCCGGCCCTTAAAAACTTTGTTTTACTTAAGTGACTGTGAGCTTCTTGAAGGGAGAGCTGCCTGATTTTTTTTTTTTTAATAGTTCTACCCAGTATCCAGGTAAATGCCTGTAACAGAGACACTCAGCAAATGTTTTATTGACGCAGCAATGTAACTCTTTTGTAGATTAATGTGGTGTATAGGAAAAGGCTCTTCTACTTGTTCCTGCTTTTGAGTGTGTCATTTCCTGGCCTGGATCCTGTCCATGTTTATAGAACCAGCTTAGGAGATACTAACTTTAATTCTAAAATTAACCATTATTTTGTCAGCTAATAGGTAGTATGTCTAGCTATAGCTATGTGGGGCATGTGGAAATGATGCAGGAGACATATAGGGGATTCTGTGTGGATGGTAAAGCTAGCAGTGGTGGGTCAGGACAGCAAGGGCCCTGGGGCTCACCGAGCACTTAAGATGAATGGCTGCCCCCGTTGGGTTTCCAAGACCATATTTCTCCCTGAAGTGGCAGATGGAGCAGGGACTCCTGCTGGCAGATGCCTCCTGCCCCCACCCTTAGCTGGGGACCCAGTCCCAGGAGTGGTCCTTGGAGCAGCTTTTCCCCAGTATGGCCCCCATTTTCTCTGCTGCCATCTCCCCCGTGGAATCTCCGTCCATCCAGCCTGAAGAGACAGAATCTGTAGATATTTTCCCAGCAGGTTCACCAAGGTCATTGGTGGTGGTAACCTTAGGTGGCCTGTTCTTATGTAATAGCCTTAAGTGGGGAATTGTCTGTTTAAAATTCGTAGGGTCTACCCTTTGTGTCTTTTGTCTCTTTGTGTCAGGATTTAATAATCTTCTCCTTAGGATGCTTCAGTAAATAGCTCTTTGCACAAATCAGGGCCATTTCATGAATACATTTAAGGAGAGTCATGCCCTCTGCTATTTAGCTTTGTAATAAAGCTTGAGTTAAGGTTGGAATTGAAATTAGTGCAGTGCATATATAGCGGTGTTTCAACTTTATGTCTTAATCTGTTTTTATTTACTCTTAATAGATCATCCACAGGTTTTTGTGTGTTTTTTTTTATAAAATATACGTGTGAATTTTTCCCTAAATTTTATCATCTATAAAATGGTTACAGTACAGAAAACACTCATTGTGGCTTTTCCTGTTTATATTTTTTATACTAAGATGGTTAACCTGTGTCTTTGTAACATAGAACCACATATAATTTTTCAAAGGAATAACTTTTGATATATGCACATCCTTTAATTATAATGTTAAATGCATATTAATGTAGTGCTGGATTTGACTTTTGTATTATCCATAATTAAGAGAAAATAAATACTCAAATCTGTCTTTCAGGCAGTAACAGAGAAGAATTTTGAAGCAAAGGATTTTCGAGCCTCTCTAGAGAATGGTGTTCTGTTGTGTGAGTAAGTATTTAAAACATTTAAAAAATATTTCTAAAGCAAAGGTGTGTGTGTGTGTGTGTGTGTGTGTGTGTGTTAGGAAGTGTCTTCACTCCCCTCTCCATGGCTACCATAGTCACAGATATGTTTTCTTGGTAACAAGTGAGATTTGATCCCTGCAAATTGACACCCCCATAGTACCAGACAGTAGGAAGGGGTTATCAGTCTCTGTATCTAAAGATAGCATTGGTGAAATATATATTATTTTAAATTAGTAAACGTGAAAGATTCTGTTATTGCGTGATGGGCCAGTAGGGGTGGGTGGTTGAGGAGAAAGCCCTATTACATTGCACCAGCTATCACTTACTCTATTATTCTGATGTATGGAATTGCCTGGTTTAAAAGTTAATATGCCACTTTTTTTTTCTTCATCAATAAATAGTGATGATTCTAGAACAAATTTAGGCAATAGCAAATTTTTCTTTTAAGCTTAAAGTGGAATCATTACATTACCACAGTCAATTTGAGTCATGGGCCGTTGATTTAATTAATGTATTATTGAGAATTGCCTCCCAGGCTTTGGTTATCATAAGTAAAATAGGATGGTGCTATGATTGATGGTTGAGGCCTACATTATATGTTTAGTGTAATGGTTTGTTCCCCAATGGATGTGAAGTAGTTAGCCAGGTATTTGACCTTTGGGGGTGAGGGGTAGGCAGGCCTGTAAGAGGTAAGGATGAAGGTGTGGGGGCACAGGTTGCAGAAGTGAGCAAATAAATTATAAGAATGTACTTGAGTATGCACCCACATTTTTGAAAGCACTTAAGTATCCCAATCTAACACTTACTGCACAGGTATTTATGGAATCTCCCCACAAGTAAGCACAAGGAGTCTATGTGCTTGTACTTAGATGATTTTGATTATATTGTTAAAGGAAGGTTGTTTGCAGCAAAGATCAGGAATCAAAGGGCCTGGGTTTGATTCCTTGCTTCATTACTTTGGACATTTGAGCAAGTGACTTAATGCCTGAGCCTTATTTTCTCACCTATAAAGTGGACATCAGGGTTTCTGATTTGCCTACTTAACAGGGTTGCAAAATTCCATAAGACATATGGAACTTAATAGGTTTTTATAAACTATCAAACTTTGTATAAATACAAGTTGTTGCTAGGAAGATGGCCATGTAGATAATAGTCTCTATCTCATCAGCTCTGTTGGTAGGTGTTCAAACTTCCTTGTCTTACAGTAATATTATTAAGTTGAACCGGATGAAGCTGTCGATATTCAACCATCTGTGACCTACAGAAATGTCAAGTTCATTTGGTTCCAGCTAAGATGTTGTAGAACGGGCATATGAGGAAATTTAAGGGATGTATCTTGACCTCTTCTGATGTCACGTTCAGAGCTGTCATTGCCAAATAGTGTTTAAACTAATTTTAGTAGGCCACATGGTCAGCCCAGGTGGTCACTGATATAATAGGAAATTACTTAATCTTGATTTGAACACTAAATGATTTAAATGTGTTCAGAAGATGGAGGGGCAAAAATGACTCAGAAGGATGCATGTGATCTGAAAATCACCTTTGCTATAGACCATTTATAGCAGCGGTTCTCAACCTTCCTAATGTCGCGACCCCTTAATACAGTTCCTCATGTTGTGGTGACCCCCCAACCATACAATTATTTTCGTTGCTACTCTATAACTGTAATTTTGCTACTGTTATGAATCGTAATGTAAATATCTTTTCGTTTTCCGATGGTCTTAGGCGACCCCTGTGAAAGGGTCATTCGACCCCCGAAGTGGTTGCGACTCACAGGTTGAGAACCGCTGATTTAGAGGTTTGCAGCCAAATCACTTTGATGTCAATTGTAAGCCTTAGAAATAGGATAGGTGTTAGGTGGGTTTAGGCAGGAAGTATGCCTATGTGGCAGGAGTTGTTTTCAGACACGTGATAGCATATGGCCCCAATAGTTGATCTTTTCAAAGAAGTCAGGTTTGGTTACATACTATTGAACAATAACTCAAAACATTTTTAGGGAACCCCCTTTTTGGGGGTCATTGCTTCCATAACTAGGTCATTAAACATACTTGAAAATGACAACTTAGGTTTTGATTTAAAATGCAATTTATGCATGAGGCTGGGCTCTGAATGATTTTAGGTGATTTCTGAAAACTGGGCCCAAACTGTTACCAGGAAGAATATTCACAATTAATGAAAAACTGTTTTGACTACAAGCAGTACTGTTAGAATAAATATATAAGTTCTATCTTAAAGGCCACAGCAAACATTTGGATGCATGTTTAGAAATATATTGGTTTTTTCAAAACATCACTTAAATTCACAACTTCCCAAAGCTCATTCTTAGATTGTTTCCTAACTGAAATACAACACTAACTTGGGTTTTGTGCATTACCAGGTAAGTCTCATCAATCTGTTTAGTACCCAGTACTCCTCAAATGAATGCTTCCCAAATGGAGCAGATGTAAACATTAAGCTGTGGAAGTCAGCAATGGTAGTTTACTGTGGGACACGAAAGTACTACATGACATTTGTATTAAAAAAAATATTTTTCTTAATTCTGAATCACATTGTTTTAGCTATTGGTTAATGAATGCATGTTATCTAAAAGGTTAAGTGTTGGGGGGGAAAAAAGTCCAGGTGACTATATTCTGTATAAATCCATAACTGAAGAAAGCCTACCTGGTTGGTCTGTAAGCGGGCATCACTGAGCACCTCCACCTGAGTTATAATGCATATAAGGAAAGCAAAATCCGTTGTGCAGAAGCCCTATTATAAGCCCAGACTTTAAATTAATGGTAAATATAGTAATCAGTCTGTCTGTGAGATTTTTACCCACAAGAGATTTAGAGTTTTAGCGGAAATATGATCAGGATATTTAAAAAACCTGAATTCATTTTCTTACAGGAAAAGGCTGACTTCTGTTTGGTTCACTGCTAGAAAAGCTACCAATCCTTGTGAAATGTAGGGTCTGCCTGTAGCCTATTAAAAATCTCTAGGCATCCTAGTTCATTACTACCATTAAAGAGTTTTCTTGTTATTTTATCTAGTAATTTCAACAGCCTTTTATCCTTTAGTAATAGTTAATCCTTTTGAACTGGCATTCTGAAATATCAAAGTGAAGAGTTGGAAGAAGTGAGCTTATTATAGCTTTCACTCAACTGGCAGTGTACTGACATTTCCAATAGTCTAAATTGGGCATAAACTCTGCTCTGAGGTTTCAAACAAGGTACACATCTGAGTAATGAGGATATTATGAGCATTTATTGCCTTTTAATCTAATTTACTACTGAAATTAGTATCTTCTGTTAATCACTGTAGCATCATTTAGTGGGATTGACTGTGAGATCTAATGAATTGAGGGCTAAAGAATACTCTCCTGGTTCAAGTCTGCGATAGTAATTCTTTTACCTTATACCTTAAACATATAATCTCTGTTGGCTTTACTAAACAATGAGATGGGAACAAGATCTAATTTAGGGGTTTTTCTAATTAGTGAAAGGATTGACAAGAGCCTATAAGGTCATTTCAGGTCAAGAGGTTATCGAAGTAGGTTTTTGATGGAATGAAGGCTCTTCTTATAATTTTTTATGAATTTTATTAATACTATTCATTACTCTGCCTCCCATCTTCAATGCTTATTAGTGTTTATGAGGACCACCTCACTGCATATTTAAAAATATCTGAGGTTTGCTACTACATAAATATCCATGATCCTCTCTTGTTCTATGGCTCTAACAAAATTATTTCTCTTTGCTAAACATATTTAGTGGCATATCCAGCTTGAAAGGAGCTAGTAATTTCACACTTATCATAGCAATCTTACAAATATTCAAATGAAAACATTCTTTATTCTCCTTTCGAAATAAGAAGATTTATTTGAGGATAATCCTATTGGGCATGTCTCTGGTGTGTCAGTCTATACTTCCCATCCCTGGAATAATGCCACATCTTTGCTGTGTCCCAAGTCAGCTGCGCCTCAGAAGTTTATGCCTTTTATTGAGAAAACTCTTCTCCCACTGTCACCAGGCCTTGTTTTCCATGGCTTGCGGCCTGGAAAGAGTAGAGCACAGTGTTCACGTATTGGTTGGAGAAATCCCATTTCTATTTATATCTGCTACAATGTTATGACTATGCTATCTGCCTAAAATCACCATACTAGTTTTTAAAGATATATTCAGTAGAAGAAGAAAACATATTTTAAAATACGATTAATTTACTCTGAGACTCTCAGGTGCTTATTTTAAGACATCAGACAATATAGAGAACTTGGCTACTCCTCATTTAGGCTCAGGGAACTGCATCCTTTGTTAGGGTTGGGGATGTTCACATATTGAATGTCAGTGACATTCGTGGGCCCTTGTGGCTTCGCTACAGTGCTTCATGTGAAGCCAAGAGGCTCTTGTGTAATGTGAAGGCTTTTTCTTAGAGCTTTTTCTGGCTTTGCATTTCCTGAGGAGGGCAGTTGTTACTACACAGCTCTCCAGCTTGCCAACGTTAATCCCGATTCATGTTATAGCCATGTGAAATATAAGTAAAAAAACTATTTTTTCCACTTAAAGTAGTATAAACTTTGATGTTTCCTTATTATTTGATAACCCAGCAGTGGGTAAACAAAGATGCAAGAGTTCAAGTTCATAAAGAGAATTTAAAAAACTTAAACTGCTTTTTCTTCATGGCAGTATATTGTGGTTGCCATCTGTATACTCTCTTTTTCAGCTTCATAGTCAATTTTTTTCTGTAATTTTATATCTACATACAGCAAAGATATAATTTAAGAAAAGTATATCGAATTGAAGGTGAACTTAGCAAGCATCAATTTAAAAATTCACTTCTGTTATGGTAGTCACATTGTTCAGACTTATTGCAATTTTTTTTAAAT